AGCACTCTTGGTAATTATTTTGTGCTTCTTTCTGACTCAGCAGGAAGTTAAAACTGAGCTAGAGATAACAAAAGTTCATCTGGATAGCTTTGGAATGTTTCTACTTCAAAATACAATGCAACTATCTTTACAAATTTTCTGTAAATGTAAAACGATTCTTTTAAAAAAAAGGTTTATTTAAAACATATCAACTCTTGACCTGTATGGTACATAAATTATATGTCAGTAAAACGGTTTTAAAAAGTAAATAAAACATAACAACTGCGTCTCCTTGATTCAATTCTCACTTGTTTCCTACTTCCAGCATTTTGTTTCTGCGGCGATATGAAATTACTTGGTCTGGCTCTTCATCTATAATCTGTAATCTGCCCCCAAATGATTTGGTGGGACCCTGCAAACAGGGTGTGTGAACAAACATCTAATAAAAGGAGACTAGCCAGTATTGCCTAAGAGCCAGGTGGTGTAGTGGTTACATGCTGGGCTACTAACTGCAAAGCTGGCAGTTCGAAACCAGCAGCTGTTGCATGGGAGAAAGACGAGGCTTTCTAGTCTCAGTTAGTCTCAGAACCCCACAGTCAGTTCTACCCTGTCCTATAGCATGACTTTGAGTTGGAATCAACTCAAGGGCAGTGAGTATGGTTTATTGGTTTGGCCAGTTTTGCAATTCTTCATGGTGAGTCCATCTCAGAAGCAAGATGAGAGAGAATCCCATGATCAACAAGAAGAGCCATACTTGTCTGGGATCCCTACCTGAAGAAGGGGTGACAGGAGAGACCATGAAGGAGGGGTTTCAGCAGCAAGAGTCCATGAGACAGAGCAGCTAGCTTCCTGGCCCACGGAGTGAGTACTGCTTACTGCATTAGGGCAGGAAGCTAGCTTGTAGAGTGCATCAGCACTAAAAGAGCTTTGTTACTCTTGCCCAGGCAAGGCAGAAGCCTGCCAGTGTGACGGAGAGGCCAAGGCCAGTGTGGCTGGAGGGAGCTGTGCCTGCTGTCACAGCTGAGAAGAGGTGCTATGGACAAAAGAACTTTATCCTTTAATGTTTATCTTCCGAGCTGGTATTTGTTAACCTCCCTAATAAGCCTCATAGTAGTGAGTATTGTCTGTGAGTTCGGTGAGGCTAATACAATATATTATCAAAACCGGGAGAACAGTAGATTGCCATGGGAGAGACAACTGGCATCACAAGAGGATAACGAAGGATGGAAAGTGGAGGCATGTCTGACTTCTGCCTCATCTTTGGGCAGATGTGGATTTGGATTCCCCTTCCCTTTGGGGTTGAGGAAGTTAGATGTGACTCTCATGCCATTTCTTCAGTTTCTTACACTTGAAATTTCTGGCTCTCAAACTCCCACACCTACTGCCCTTCCATTAACCACTGTAGCAATTCCTCAACTGTACACTTTTCCTTAGAGCAGCAGTCTCGACCTGTGGGTCGCGACCCCTTTGGGGGTCAAACGACCCTTTCACAGGGGTCACCCAATTCATAATAGTAGCAAAATAACAGTTATGAAGTAGCAATGAAAGTAATTTTATGGCTGTGGGGGTCATCACAACACGGGGAGCTGTATTAAAGAGTCGCGGCATTAGGAAGGTTGAGAACCACTGCCTTAGAGGAATGTCATACTGTATTAGCTGTTAGGTGTCGCAGGCCCTGAAGAACACCAGCCAAGGAAGGTTCAATCGGATTCTGCGGGGGAGGGAGAGGAGTGAGGTTCCAAGAGTAGTACTACCAGCTGGATTCACATCGTTATTTTTCCCAGGGAACACGAGTCTGCGGGGCTGGACTGACCCTGCTTTGGAAACAAGAACAGCAGCAACAGGCCCGGGTCCAACAGCATTACCTGAAGTCCAACAACATTCTGGAAGCATCTGCGAGTCAAACACAGAACCATTGAAGTAGCCACATTGTGAGAGTAGAACAAGTAACCTGCACGCAGTTCAGCTCCACAGTCTTGTCAGTCTCCTAAGGCATGCCCCTTCCTGGAACAGGATAGGTCCTATGCACAAAGGCAAGACAACGGCAGGCAGCTCTGAGAGAAAAGGTCAACTGTTCAATTCACCGCAGAATCCAAAGAGCGAAACGAGCACTTTGACCATCGTTGTCTGGATTAGTACAAGCATATTTTCCTAAACATGTTTCTGGAGTGTCATTTTAAAACTTTATGTCAAGTAAAAGATGAGACTCTGATACCCACCACTGTCCTCAGGGCCATTTTATTCTATGTCACAACTTCCTATTGGGGGCAGGTAAGAACATCCTTATCTGAGACCTCATTTTATCCTTACACACACACACAAACCAAATTTCTCACGGCAGCTAGAAAATCCACACCATGCTTGGAGCAAACAATCCTGGGGCTGTTAATGTCAGCTCTCGGACCAAATCTCCCTCCAGGAAGTCTTTCAAACAAAAAGGTGACCTTCAGGTGCACACATGTTAACTATGCTTCAGCTTCCACAACAAGTAACAAACACCTGGGCACTCGTACCCTGCACAGTAACTTTCTCAGGAGGGCTGACCACTTAAACATTCACATTTGTGCCCAGAGTCAAAAAAGCTCTCACTGTGGAGCAAAATAAAAAGAAGTGTGTTGGAGCTAAATACCGCAATCTTCATCTCAATTCTCTTCCATGACGACAACAACAGAAAAAGAGATGCCCTTCCTTACATAATTCAAAGACACATACTCACCCCTTTCGAAGGCTTTAAAAACATGAACATGCCAATCCACTCAAGCAACCAGGAAATCCGTGTTTCCCGGGTGAATAAAAGACTTTCTTTTTTTTTTTAATCAATTTATTGGGGCTCATACAATTCAAACAAGTTGACTAGGTTTCAATAAAACTATTTACTTACAAAGACTTCACTAATCATATTGTACCTTAAAAACCTATTTTCCACTTCGATTCTTTTTCTGCAACAACTTTGCATCCCCGTAAGTAACTATGGCTCCCTACAAAAGAACTTCTCATAATCTTGTTGGGCTTGGGGTGGGGGTTCGGTGTAGTGTTGAATTGGAAACAAAAATCCCCTGTAATGATCCTGATCCCTCTGCCTTTTCCTCTGCCACCCTCCAATTCCCACTTCAATTATCATCTGCTATGGCTTTCCTAGCCATAGTCTATGTAACTCTCACCACATGTGTGGAAACACATACACAGGGTAGGTATGTGGCACTCTAATGAGGGAACTTCGTCATTCTTGCCAACCTGTTAGGTACAGTTCGCCATCTCAAAAGCAGAAAAAGGATCTCACAATCACGAAGAACAAAAAGGTATAAGCAAAACATGTCCTTAGGACCCAGAGATCCCTGTACAGGATCATTTTTGCTATTGTAATAATACATATTTATACTTCAACAGATAAAATATTAACATTACAGAAAGTTTTCAAGTCATAGACTTACTTCTATTTGAAATACAGTGTCAAATACGGACAATAAATCCCAATGATATGCTCTTTTGAAAACTGCTAATGTTGTTAAAATAAGATATGGAAGGTACCTATCGGATCATAGATTCAGAGACTCCTGAGTTGGTGCTAAAGGGTAGGGGCTGGCATTCAGCTCCTAGAGACTTAGGCAGATGTTGAGGATATAGATTCTTTGCTCAAATACTGCGGCAGAAGATGAACATTAGTGTGTCCTTCTTAAAAGCCTACTGCTATACATTGTTACAGTTGGCATCAGAAACGGATTCCTAGCAATGAATCCAGACTCATGGAAGCATAGTACTTCGTAAGAGAAAAAAGGAAGTGTCATGAGAAATAAAACGTTTGATTCTTTGCCTCATTCACTGCCTTTATGAGTCTAGTCTAACTCATAGCCACCCCATAGGGCAGGGTAAAACTGCCCTGTGAGTTTCTGCGACTGTAACTGCAAAGTAGAAAGCCCTATCTTTCTGCTGATCTTGAAGTTAGCAGCTCAATGCAAAACTACACCTCCACCAGGGCTCCTATCTGAGAAGGCCAGTTTGGTGGTTTTTATCGTTGTGGCTGAAGGGGATTTAAGAGATGTTAAGCTACAGCTAGCTGAGGGGAGAAAAGTTGTTTCTGGAATGGCTGGGGACAAAAGTCTGGCTGGTTAAACAAGACAGCTGATAGAAGGCCAGGGCCTGCTGAATAAGCCATACCAATGGTTTATGGCTATATGCATATGAATGAGAGGCACTACAGGGGTGGAGAAGAGAAAATTAAACTTCAGTTTTTTAAAATGGGTTGTACATTTAAAGATACCTGTTTATCTGACTGTACTATTGCGAGTCATAAACATAAACTATAAATCATAAACCACTGTAATATAAGACAGCCCTACCCAGGCTAACAAGTCTGTCAGATTTTCCAAAGATCAGTGGTAAAAGGAGTCTGCACATACTAACTAACTAACTGCTGGCCTCCTGAGTTTTTTGCAATGCAAACAGTAGGCAGTAGTATTTGGAGGGTAGCCAGCCAGCCAGCCTACTAGCATTTGTCACAGAGGAAAAAATTTCTCTGTATGTGATATGTTTCCCCTTGTTTCATTTCATTATTACGTCTGCCTTGTGAACCCCAACATTTACGTTATCTATAGTTAACACTTGTAAGGGAACAACTAAGTATGAAAACTTTGAAAACCTTGAAATTAAAGCAGCACTCAGATATGGTTATGGTGAGAGTATCCTCTGGGAACCAGTTCTCATAAATTCAGTTATCTGTCTCTCCATTCAGCTCAGTGGTTACTGATCTGACTCCACCTCTCCAGAGTAAGGACTCGACATCTTCAGGTATAACTATGGACACTGGTTTCTCTATCAAGTACTGTCAATCTTTCATGTGTGGAAGAGACCATGGTTACAAAAGTCCAAGAATGGCCTGCATACCGATACCATGGATTACTTGTCATGGCTCTTCTACCCATAGCCTTTGTCTCTTCCACCAAACAACTAGGCAGGAACTTGCTTATGGTTAAACCAATGTCTAAAATTACCTTAAATTGTTCTACATTTTATACAAAACTTACCGAATCCTCTGGAGGCCTCTGAATTTTTCCCCAATCCACAGAAGGTCCCTTTTCTTGCAAAAATCTATGAAATAGCTTCCGAAATCCATCAAGGTCTTTTTTAGTATGCTATGAAAATAGAAATCACTGTTACAACCAGCAGAATGCTTACTATTTAACAAAAACAGGCACAAACTATACATTTAAGATGCCTCAAAATAAAATTGTTATAAAAAGGGGGTTTCAAAAGCTCATGAAAAAAATCCCATTATCTGTTCATTATAGTGTTCCACAAACTTGAATTTTTGCAGCACCTTCATATTAGAACAAAGAGTGAGACTTTTTAAGGACCCTCGTTTAAAATTAAAGATAAAGAAAAGCTAGTGGGAACTACGTTTAAAAGAATAAGAGCAATTAAGGCTCTGACCTCCCACTAGCATCATGTAAGCTAAACACCATTTGGTCTATGGGAATTCCAAATGGTCCTCTACATTTATTCACCAGCAGCTTTGTATCGAAAGTGGAAATGAACCAAGAGAACAAGGAGCCAAAAGCATCTAAGCACAAGACATTAAAACCTTAAGTATAAAATATAAATAAAATTAATTTAATGGTTGAAAGCAGAAACTAAAAGTGTCTGATGGGGATTCAATGTATAGAAAAATTAACAACCAACCAATAAATTAAGTTTTCAAACAATAAACTAATACAAAAATCATTCTACAAAAAAAAAAATGAAGTACATGTTGCAATTTGAAAATGGAAAAAAATAACATTGATTTATAAGTAGAAATTAGAACAATTCTTGGAATCCCCAATAAGTATTGTTACAGTAGCATGGTTCTGAGCCCTGGCACTGTGTAAAAAGGCCTGCAGGAGGTACGCCTGATTAACTTCTCACAATTCCTTCTAAACACTGAGAGCTAGTTCTCTACTCAAGGTATCAAAACAGAACAAATAGTGTGATTTTTTTATTTTCTGATTCTTTAGTAGCTTTGGGAACTTGTTAGAATGTTAGTGGGGTGGGGAGTGGGGGAGTTAAAAGAATGATATTTTGCAAAGGACAAATGCAGAAAATCCTTCATTGTTAAGCAATCCTCCTGATTTGTTGTTGTTATTGTTGTTACATCACCTGCTTAGTTAGGGATGGATGATGACTACGTTGGCAGTAACTGAGCAGGTAGACTGACCAAAACAAAACAAAAAAACTGTCAAGGCCCTACCTCACACTCATGTGATGGCGCAGTAGTGAGTATCTGTTCGAGTTCCTTCTTCACGGATAGTTCTAGTTCTTGCCGAATGACTTCTTGGAACTGAGACATGCCATCTTGAGACATTGCTTTGCTAAGATCTTAAAACAAAAACAGAAAACCACCACCTGAGAAAGCTGCCATTCAAACAGCTGGTAGACCACCACCGCGTTTCCTCTGACGGTCCTAGAACGATAAAGGCTCAACTGCACAGTGCCACCCTCTCCCCACACACAGGATTCAGCAGTGCTAACGAGTTAGGACAATACAGGGTGACGGGTCAAGGGAACAATTCTGAGGACAGTGCAGGATCAGGCACGTGTTTTGTTCCTTTGTGCAGAGTGGCTATGGGTCGGACCTGACTCAAAGGCACCTAACCACAAGTTTGGCTACTGGGTACACCAACATGCCTTACCAGTATCTAAGGCACTACATACTTTTAAGGAAGATGAAGCAGGAACAAGTGGGAGGACTCATTTTCTTTTGAGCACAGAAGCCCAATGCTTCTCATTAAAATGGCAAAATTAAAAACACTTTGTATGATCATTACATGGAGCATTCCCTTACAGAACTCAACGCAAATCATAAGAGAACGGAAAAGGGTTTGCCAATTCCATAGAAGCTGTAAGCTCCTCCCTTTTCTCTAGGCCAGATGAAAACATTAAATAATCTTTTCCATATTAGAATTTAATCATTATTTCTAAGATACCTTTGAGAGCAGAAATTAAGTCAATTGTGGAACTCCTGGGTTAATTTGCTTAATTATGGTAGCCCTCCTCCCCCAATGCCTAAAAAATATTAACAAACGAGCTATTTAACAAGCTCTTTGAAAACTTTTCATACATACTTTCCAGCCTATTAGAATCAAAGGGGGAACAAAATCCATGGAAATTTGGTTTGGTAGGAGTACAAATAGCTAAATAATCTAAAATAGCCATTTTATAACTGTGCTCTTTTGACAGACATAAACCACAGCACAACTGTTTACAGACTCCAGTGGAACAAGCAAAATGACGCAAGTTTGTTCCACAAGTAACTCACTGTAAACTAACAAATGTCAAGTCACCTGTGTCTTCTATAAAGTACCTAAAGACATGTCTTGACCAACAAGTAGCAATTTGATTTTAATCTGTAAATAATCCACGACAATGGATGAGCACATCGATACACATCCCGGGCCAGTAATTTAAAAAGCTTCTGAGGCTTCTTTTCCCGCCCCTCCTGAGGCCATTTTAAGCTTGAATTAACATGACATCATCCATAGGTGTTCATCGCTTCACATATAGAATTGTAATTTAAAATTTTTCATAGCTAAAGCCCCCACCCTGACATCTATGTCTACCTGAGATGCTGTTCCCTTAATTTGAACCAATTCCTGTATTAATATTGGGGACCTAGTTGGGGGCGGGGGGATGTATATATCTTCTAAGTTACAGAAATACGAATTGTTGATTCTCCGTCACCATAAAAATAGAATAAGTATGCAATAATTTTTTTAATAACTCGTTGTTGTTCTTGTTACTATAAACCTGCTGCTCGATTGCCAAAGTGAGATCTCTGAAAGCAAGCATTCAAACACTATTGCATTCCTAAAAAATAAAGTAATGGAAACATTTAACTTACTTATATTCTGGGCAAATGCTAAGATGAGATCAAAACTAAACGCGACTGCAAAAGTTTAAAAATAACTGTAGTAGCCATCTGAGATTTGCCTAAATGAGAACAAGTTGGAGAAAAAAAATAAAACCTCTGCTATCAATTTGCATGACTTAAGGTAAAAACACAAAAACTCTCTATCATCCTATTAAGGAAACACAGTCTGGCTGAAAGATTGTGAACATTTAACACTCTGTGTGATCTTTGTCAACTGCAGCCTGTCCAACCTTTAAAATAACATGTTTAAAAGCCAGACGGAGTCAAATCCTTCCCCACGATTTACAACATCCATTTATTTTATACACCAGATGTACACAATGAGCCATCTGTATTCATTCTATTCCTTTTACAAATATGAACATTTTGTACAGTTGGCCTCTGAACAACACGGGTTTGAACTGTGTGGGTCCACTTACAAAACAACTCAATCCCAACGAGTAGATTCCAACTCATAGTGACCCTACAGGACAAACAGTAGAACTCCCCTGTGAGTTTCTGAGATTGTAACTCTCCGGGAGTAGAAGGCCTCTCTTCTCCCTGGGTCCACTTTGTGTAACACTCATCATCTTCAGGTGAGCAATTCATTCCTTAATGTGGACCTCATTAAAAGGGATCTCTTGAGGTTCTCATGGAATTTTCCCTGTGTTTAGTGCAATACCATAAACTTGTGGAACTCCTGAGAAGTGCCACTAGTGATGCTCAAAGTTCTCCCAAGTAGCAGAGAAGAGTCATGACATTACAAGAGGATGTGCTGAGGTTGCCTACCACTTCAAGATAAGTGAGTCCAGCATAAGAGTTATTGTAAAAAAAGAAAAAGAAAACTCATAATGCCATTAAGCTGCAGCTACATCAACAGGCCCGGAAACCTTGCACATTTTATGAAATACCTTTTAAAAACTGTAGCTTTTAATGTGGATGCAGCATATGAAGGGGTACCACCGCTACCCCCCCCCAAAAAATAAAATCTTCCCCCCCAGAAGCTATATATATGCAAGATTATTTACAAAACAACCTCATCACCTTCAAAGTACTCTCCATTACACTTAAAACATTGTTCAAATCTGCGATTCCATTCTGGGAAACATTTTTTCAAACTCATCTGTTTAGATGGCTGATAGCGCCTCCCTCATTTTTTTCTTCATCTCTTCTATGCCTCCCGATGGCTGTCCTTTCATGTCTCCTCTTCATTCACGGCAACAAAAAGAAGTTGTACAGAGTGAGGTCAGGTAAGTGAGGTGAGTGGGGCAAGAGAGGAATGCTGTTTTTTGCCAAAAACTGGTACACTGAGCTGGTTGTGTGAGCAGGTGTATTGTTGTGGTGGCAAAGCCAGTCCCCTGACTTCCACAAATCAGACCTTTTTTGGTCACACACTGTTATACAATCTTTTCAAAACCTCTAAATAGAAATTTGGTTAACAGTCTGACCTGGTGGAATGAACTGAAAATGCACTATCCCCCTCACATCAAAAAAAGCAAATGAGCATTGTCTTGATCTTTTATTTCAATTGATGAACTTTTTCTGGGCGAGGTGATGATGGCATCTTCCATTGGCTTAACTGATGTTTACTTTCGGGGTCATAAGAATAGCACCATGTCTCATCACCAGAAGTGACTTTGAGGGAAAAGTCTGAGTCCCTTCCAAGCTGTTCTTTCACTGCTTGGCATGTTTCCACTCAGTGTTCTTTTTCCTGATCAGTCAGAACCCAAGGCATAAATTTCACATCAACCTTTCAAATCTTCCATTAAAATTTGCTAAACCAAGCTCTAAGATAGTCCAGATAAGTTCCCCCTTCCTTCAATGGTCCGTCATCAGTCTTAGAGCACAAGTACACAGATTTTGTCAACATGTTCATCTGTGTAGAAGGTGATGGACATCCAGAATAAGGTTTGTCATTACTCAACATTTCACCTTTTTGGAAACAAGAAAACCACTCATACACTGGAGTTTTTCCCATAGCGTTGTCCTTGTAGGCTGTGTTCAACATCACAACAGCTTCTCCGGTATTTTTCCTGAGCAGAAAACAACATTTCACAGCCGCATGCTGTTCTCTTAAATCGGCCATCACAAAAAATGAGGTTCCAGTACAACTGCTTGCATGTAAAAAACATCCGCTGTGAACAGAGACAACCTTCCCAGGCGACGCCACCGAGTGCACTGACCCAGGGCAAGTTGCTGGATGCTCACCTACTGGGAAAAATTTGTACTGCCAAAATTCTGCCCAGGAAAGCTTTATTCCATTTTGATTGTTTTTTGGGGGTACCCCCTCCTATAATGCATATACAAAATACAGTCAGAATGCTCCTTAGAAGCAAGAAAGGGAAGACTCCCGTCACATGTACTTTGGACATGTTGCCAGGAGAGCCCAGTCCCTGGAGAAGGACATCATGTTTGGTAAACGAGAGGGGCAGCAAAAAGAAAGGAAGGCCTTTGACAAGATTGATGGACATAGTAGCTGCATCCAAGGGCTCAAACATAAAGACAATTGGAAAGATGGCACGGGACCAGGGAGTGTTTCTTTCTATTGTACAGGGGGTCACTATGAGTCTGAACTGACTCGATGGCACCTAACAACAACAAAGAATAAGGACTAGGGAAGGGTGCTCAAGCAAGAGTGAGCAGGGAAGAAAGTAAGCTCAGACTAGAAACCGCTTCCCGTTACAGCAACCTGAGCCTATTCTAACTTTTCTAAGAAAGGTTTGGAATGTCTAGTAGAAGAGGTACAGCCCTGGGATGCTTTCTTTGATTGAACAGTCTCAAATTACACTTCTGGTAATGACCGTTGTGTTTCTAATGGAAGATCAATGAAAGAATCCCCTAAATAATGCAAGCTCTCTAACCTAAAATGGTCTCTCTAGCCTCACTTCCTAGCAATATAGAATTGATGCTCCTCTACTTTACAGAGAGTGGCTTAGGAATCAAGCAATTCATTAACTCAGTCATAAATCTAAACATTTTTAGAGCTAGGAGGAGCCATTTGATTTTTTTCCCCAAAAAATGAGGAAACCATACTTTGTGGATTTTATTGAAACTAGGTAAATGACTTGCCCAAGGTCACAGAGAGGACTAATTCTAGCACCCAGAGGAAAACCTAGTTTTCCTGAGCTCCAGCTGACTGACCGCTTTTCCTCCTAATCGGGTTATCTTCCATCCTTGGTTTATATTCCCTACATATCATTTCCCCCAAAGCATTTCATCCGAATCTCTTCTTACACCCAATGAGTAAACAGACTGGAAACTCTTCAGCACAAGTCAACTGGGCTTGCTAGAAATGTCTCAGTCAACTTAATGATAATTCAGTCAAATTGGAATAGAGTAGGCAGAATTTTTTGAGAATCCCCCCTCCCCTCAAATTCCTGTTTTTCTTGCCATAAGAACTAAAATGGAAACATCAAGGACTATCCCCTATCCAACTGGAACCCCCTAAAAAGGAGAAAGGAGGTGGAGG